AACTTTTATAAGAAATGAAGATGCATTATTAGTTGTGTTGTCAACGTGCAACACAAAGATTCAAAAAACGCGTCATATATAACGAACAAAAACAAAATTTTCAATAAACACAATCTAAATATTGACTAAGGTTAGCGTTAGTAGTGGTGGGATTAAGGATGAGATAAAGTTTGTATGTAAAAATGCATCATCGATATTTAAATGTTGGTTTGTGCTACCCGAAATTTTATTAACGTTTCCGATTCAATAATAATCAATTTCCTATGTATATATAAAAATAAATTCTGATATTTTATATTTTTTATCGTTATTAACCGTATGAAAGAAAATAAACAAAACGTAAGTTTGGTAATTAAATCTATAAATAACCGCTTACATGTGAAAATCACCACATCCTTGTGCAAAAAACCTGTTGGACTGTTATAATACATACAACAGCGATAACTTGTGACTTTCAATATTTGGGAATGGCAATTACATGTACATCAAAGAATTATATTAGAAAAAATAATGGTTAATGTTAACGTTAAAGAATTCTTAACCAATTATATTTCTATATATAGTATAGATAAAAGATTAGAAAGGTATCTTAAATAAATTAGATGATTTTAATAGTATAGATAATCCTGATAAATACAATAACGATAATCTTTTAAATAAATTAATAATCCATTGCAATATTCGGGAGTGCTTAATATCGGAAAATATATAAAAATGGGGTGCTTATTTTTGGGAGTATATCATTAAACGTTAGTGCCAATTGACTCTCGCAATGATCAAAAAAAGGTTGAATATCAAAGTGATATTAGATCAAGCACTGTAAATATAAAAATCTTAAAACCAATAAATATCGTAGGTCTATTAATTCGATATGAATTGCTGAAATGCATACTCATACTCCCTCACCTCACAAAGAATCCAGAAATTTTTATTTTGATTTATGATTCAATTATTATACATGAATTTACATCTTGAATGCATGTCTCAACTCTTCTAGACTTTCTTTTAATCAAATTAAATATCTACGTTGGCAATTTCATTCTTCGTGATATGCTTTCTCAAAAACATGGAGATTTTTGGAAACATAGGACTGATTTTAGCGGGTGCTGTCCAAAATCTCAACATGCCGAATACCCAAATCCCGAATGCCCAAAATCCCGAATTCCAAAAACAAAAATGCCAACGTATCCAATACCTTAAAATTTCGCATACCCAAAAAGAGTAAGGGTAGATTAATATAAATTTCATCCTTTACATTTCAGTGTTTTATTACATAATTTGAGTATATTTCGGGATTTTGGACATCAGGATTTTGGGCGTTGGGATTTTTGGGGTAGAGCCGATTTTAGAATGCTAATAATAGTCAAAATAGATTTCTCACTTTTCGTAACCCGATTATTCGATTTTGGAAGTTCAATAAATGTTCTATGAAAACTAATTATCATATTGATTTTGTTCGCTTGTATGATACAAAAGTAATATTTATATAAACAAAATTCTGTTTTCACTCATTTGTAACCGGAAAATATAGGTATTTTCTAGAAAAATTATTGAAAATATATTCCGAATGCTTTTTAATATGGGAGTGTATGTACAGCATTAAAAAATATAACTACTCTATAGAATATGTTTTAAGAATTATGTCATGTATACACGTCCTGTGTTGTTAAGAGTCGTGAAAACTTTCTTCGCTTAATGTATATCGTACGGCATTTGCTATTCCACCGGAACTTATACCTGTTTATAGAAGAATAAGTATTAATCGAAGCCGGAGTCGAAGCTGAAGCATAGAATATTGATAAGTAAAACCTACTAACCTATAATTACGATTGTATATCCCCAAGATGGTTCATTGCCAATTAGTTGCATCATAAAAAACACACCAACTGGCACCTATATAAGTTTATTAATGAAAGAGTTACATTAGTAGATCGTTTAAAGTACTAGAAGATAATCTTGAATTACCTACCCATTGTGCTAAAAAAACAAAAATATATCGTGTAATGTTTCTGGTGATCTGATATTCATAAATGCTAAGTGAATGATCGTTCGTTTCTTTGCATGATTGTTGAGTAGAATATTTTTTTAGTAATTTTAAAATCCGATAATAAGCGGTTCCTGTAATGGTGATTACTAACAGATGAATGAAACTCATGGATATTCCCATAAGTTTGGATTTTTCCCTCGTGCAGCACCTTTAAATAGACAGCAAGAAAAAATTAATATTTTCAAAGATCGTGTAGGCAAAATATTGCGGGCTTTACATACCACCATCTTCGTGGCCCAAATATTTCATTTTGAGAAAAGAAGATAGCAAATAAGATCGGTAAAGTGGCCAAGGCTAAAATAACAAGGAAAAATTTATAATCGTATTTGCCGTAATCGAATCGTATGTTTCGACAGACTAAATATCAATGATGGTAAGTTTGAAGCATAATTCTCTTAAGCTAGACTAAAATCACATGTAAAAACTAACCTCGAAGATAGGTAAAAATAGATATTACAAGAAAAAGATAGATGCTTAGACCATAAGCCCAAAATTGTAATGCACTAATTATTTTACACATCGGATTGGACCATGGCACCGCATATATAGCTCCGTGACTCTAATGATTTTAAAGCTTATATTAGTTAAAGTTATTTAACAGAACAAGTTATGCAATTTAAATTGATATTTACTACGTTTACTAAATTGACAATGGTCAACAAGCAATCTATGCAATTGAAACTTATATATGAGGAGAAAGTTTTCAAATTGAAATGGTATACAGACATTTTACATTGAAAGATGAAGAAATCCTACCTGTTATGACAGTATAAAACGGCAACCTTAATGACATAGGAAGTGATCTATAGTTATTGTGTTTCCATTTAATATACGTTCGATATATTACATAGCTAGAACCAACCAAGCTGAAAATAAAAAATATATAAAGGAATGTAAAGATCGTGTAGAAAGTATGATCTTTTACACCATTGTATGGTTGTGTTGGATGCCAAGTTGATGGCTGATACAGATTTGCATGGGTATTCGTAGGTGTACTATTGGTGGCGGCGGCATTACCGTCACTTTGAATGCTAAGTGTGTTATTCCTCACAAATTTCAACATAAATACGATCAATAAAAAGAAAAGAACTTTAAGAGACAATGCTTCGCACAACTTGAATTTATCTGTACATGAAGAGAAATCATGAATGGAATCTATTCTTAAACAAGTTACAAATTTAACGGATGTAATTAAAAAATTATGTAAGGGGGGTAATAGTAAGAGATAGATTGGTGTTGAATGACACCACGTGAATACTGCTGACAAATCTCTGTCAAAAAACTTGTATGACAAAAACTGAGCATTGCTAAAAGCAGTACATATTACGATTTTAATCAGCATCACAAAATATTTTGAACAAAAGCAGTTTAAAATAATATGAATATCCAACTTTTAGAACAAATTAGATAGTCATAAAATGATATTTGTGAAAACGAATGTTTCATTTATAAATTGAATGAAACAAAGTAAAAAATGTTGCCAATGTACATGTAACTACTTTTCTGCGTTCTAACAAAAAATGTTTCTAACTCTAATCCTAATCATAATCGATTGCTATTATATTTCTTATCTAGGGTATTACAAATTAAACTTGTGAAGTGAAAAACTAATTTTCAAGATTTGGTTATTTCAAAGAAAAATCAGTAACAGTAGCATCGTATAAATCATTACTATCTCGTTATTTACCGTCATTTCCAACATCCATGTTCATAGACATAACGAACATAGCATTTTATTGAATACTTTGAATACTCAATTCATGATTGTAATAAATGTGAAGAATGTAATTGATTAATCGGTAATATGATCTACTTTCGTTCTAACTTAGGAAAGGAGATATGGATTAAGAAAATCAGAAGCAAGTGCACACAAAGATAAGGTATTTAAAAATTTGCCATCAAATTTGATCACTGGATATTTTAAGAGGTACAAAAATAAATTAGTATAATAAAAACTATGCAATACGAAAGTAAATAATACTGGTAAGAAATTTAAGTTAAGAGAATATTAAATGCATTTCTATATATAATGACCGAATCAAAAATTATTGTTGGCTAATATCATGTCGGCGAAATAGTATGTCGGTGAAATATAATATTAGTAAAAATATCATGTTGGTAAAATATCATGTCGGGAAATCCTTTTTATACACATGTAAGATTCAAATAATTGAACAAAATGAATATTTTAATATCATAACAAAATATTAAACGCTAAAATTTGTCCCTAGATTCAACTTTTTTCTCTAAATTACAACATCGAGAGCTACAAAAAGCTTTTATTAAGTAAATTTCGAGATTAAACAGCTTGAACTACACAAAAATTAAAGAAAGATTGACTGGTTTAATATTGCAGGAGAATTCATTGATTAAATTAATGATGAACGAGTTGCGGACAATTAATTGGTTAAGACACACATTTAACGTTAACGTTAAAACTTGATTTCATCTCGTCATTATCGTTATTGACGCAAAATAATTAACGATAATAGCGAAAAATACTATCGCTATATAACGATAATAAATCATTTAATAACGATAAATCAATAAATGTAAAATATCAAACAAGCTTTTTCTCTTTAAAAGCTTAAAAAATAATTTAAATAAAAATCAATACATGTAATAATTTCATGATGACGACTTCTACGTGTAATAAACGCATCCATCACACACAATACCAAACTTTTAAATTAATCAGTTCCAGAAATGACGTTGATTGATTGATGGTGTCGATTGTTGAAGACAGTTTGACGTCAAGACAAAGATAAAAAGACACACATTGACAAACCTAAATAGCCAAATTTACATTTTACGTATCGGTATTTATATTATTATTATTACAATTATTATTCTTTGTTTTCATCTTTTGTCTTGCAATTAACATGACGTTTGCTTGTTATTATATTTTATCATCAATCATAACTTTTTTTATTAGAAATTAAAAATTCAAAAAATGAAAGGGAGCGAAGTTCCAATTTCTAAACTTTTGAATGAAAGTTCTAATTACCCTAGAAAAATCGAGTCAAACGACATCAAGCCGGATGTTTTTTTTCTACAAAATAATCTTTTCGCACGAGAGCTGTCACATACAACAGTTATTGAACGACATCAATCTCAACGAATTTTGGAAAAGTCTGTCACTTCGAGGGAACAAATTCATATTAATCCGCTCCACATCTCATCTTTATTTTCTGCGCCGAAACAATTTCTTCCTAGCAACCGTATTCAGGAATCACTTAATCGTCATCCAATCATCCTTCCACCACCAACTGTTCACGCACGGAACTTTACGCAAACCAGCACATCACTATCACGATCCACTTCATCTTCAAAATCTTCATCATTACTCACACACGAATATAATCGATCTTACAATCGTGCCACCTCGAAGACTATCGAAGAAAAAAATGCGTATCGTCTTGAGCGTAATCGCATTGCAGCAAAACTCTCTCGTGATCGCAAAAAAATTTACATCGGACAATTGGAAACCCGTACTTCTAAGCTTTCTGAAGAAAATGATGCACTTCGCAAGACAGTTACGCGATTGACAAGTCTATTGAAACAGATGACTGATGAGAATTCTAAATTGAAAGTAGTTGTAAAAGAATTACAAGCGAAAAACTTAAATGAATAGAAGAATTTTCGTGAGTTTGGATAATATGAGACTTTTATTATGTATATATTTTTATATTTATTTTATAAAATATACGGCTATAACAATAAATTTTTATACAATTATTTGTATGAAATACTTTTCAACTCATATACTTAACGTTAAAAATATAAATTTACTTAGGAATTTTAATTCCGAATGTGGCTATTAGGGATTGCACGAAGGATTCATGCATCGTTATTTTACCCTAGAAATACTGTACATTAAAGCTCGTCTTCCTGTTTGAACTTACTGACTCAACAGATGTATAAACTAATGGAGAGATTTACAGTAAGAAGCCCTTCCTTATTAGATCAGAGGTTGCCATACATTAAAGCTGTCATTTATAAATTGCAACAGGTAAACGGCCATTTTGGTGAGCGAAGTTATATAGTCCTGGTCAACGTAATGATGGATAATTTTCACTGAGTGCATCTGCTGAGAAGAGCACGATAATAAATCACCTGATCATTTCACTATTATTTTTTCTGTTTGATATGCAATAACTATTCTTCCTTATAAACAAAAACTCAAAAATTTTGACTTAGGCCTGGAAGAACTTTTGGTTAAATCTCACTAATTCTGCAAAAATTTTATGCTAGCAAATGATACTTAGACGTTATGTTGACTAAAGAATTGTAGATGCGGCAAAGGTCGAAAGCTACACCGAATGATTTACGGTGAGTTTCACTGGGGTTTTAAAGGTCTCCTGCACCAACCTACCCGGAGATTATGCAACAAGGGCAAGGGAATTCAAAGGGCAAAGATAAAGTAAATAATGTTTACTTTCAAACTTAAAAAAAATAACTATTTATTAATAAAGATAACGTTTACTCAAATTACAAAAATAACTATTAAAATTTACTAATAGAATTCAAATAACATTTATTTGAATAGGTTTATTCAAAAAAATAAATAAACAACAAATTAAATATCCAATAAACTAGAAATCAAACGAAAAAATCAAACGAAACAAGGAATCAAATGATCCATCAATTTTGTATGGCCAAAGAAGTAAAGCCTTCAATTTTGTTAAGCACAAAAGAAATAAAGTTATCAATTTTGTTAAGAACAAAAGAAGTAAAAGCTGAAGCGCTGTTAGGTAAGAGTTAAAAATAATTTCTTCAAACTGCACTTTGACTTGTCTCTCGTCCTTCGAGAGCCATCCTTTATATACAATTTAGTTTCTATATAACTATCTAGACTACAGATGATAAATTACTACAAGAATTCTATAAAATTATTGTAAGAATTTTTATAAAAGGCATAGTTATGCTTCGAAACAAAGAATAAAAATAGAATTAATTGTAATTATAAGAAAAGTAAAATAAAATTAATACGTACAATACAAAATATGAATTTTTGTAGGAATTTTCTATGAATCAAGGAATAACGTACGATATGGAAATCGAGATGAATATAATAAAAAAGATCAAAAGATCAAAGAATTTGAATAATTGATTGTTAAATAGCGATAGATATAAACACAATATTTTCAATTAAATTTTGCAAATAATTGATCCAAAATTTTATAATAATATATGAAAATTAGGCGCACTCAACAATAAAATGGAGGGGGTTTAAAGTACATGTATGTTAATTTTTTCGGTTGCTGATCTATGTCCGGGACACTTTCTTCAGGCTGGTGTCCATGAACAATGTTACTAACAATTTGTGCTTTGTTCTTGATCGCATGCACTTCCCAAATCGATGCACGAATTTTTAATCACCGAATCCGGAACAAGAAAATGAAAATGACAAAAAAATGCGAAAAAAATACATCCCTAACGCTAACCTCAATGACAAATCAGTTGCCAGCTCATATATGGTTTGCGAATTCTTATTGGTTAATTATCATGTGACCAGCACAGAGCAAAAGTATATGGTGCAAATGGCTTAGCCGCATTAAATATGGCGCCATCGTTGAATTTTATCATGCTAAAAATTGAAATTTTGCGCAAAAAATAAATAATGTAATTTTGCACGTTGAAATTTAGCCAATCAAAATAAACACATGATATATCAGACGAATGCCTGACTGCAAATGATTTTTTATAAAATAGCAAGCAAAATAAATACATAATGTTATAAAACATATCAAAGTCCATTTAATAACGTATTTGTTGAAATATCAACTAAATATTGGATGTCTTTAGATGTTTGCACCATAACTCGTATCAAATTGGCTTGCTTAATGAATTTATTTAGCACGAAAAAGACAATAAAATAATAATGCCAACCTAATCAAGGGTGAAATCCTTATTTTTTAAGCCAAAAAGAAAATACATGCACATGTATCGGTATGTTGTGCAGCATAAATATCGATTTGATCAACCAGGCACCTATATTAGTACATCTAAAAACACATCTTAACGTTAATAAATTAAAATAAAATGATTACCGACTCACTATTGACATCACATTCAAACAAGCTAGCCGAATTTTATGAAAAGGGCAATTTTTGCGATATTTCAATAATTGCTGGTGATGGAAATGCACAGCGCACCTTTACCGCACATTCGTCAATTTTAATGGCGCAATCCCAATATTTTGCTACGGCACTTTCTGATGTATGGGTGAAACGAGACCCATCTAAAATGATCGTTTTTAAGAAACCAAATATCTCACCACGTGTATTTGAAATCTTATTGAGGTAAATTAACTATGTCAATATTCAATAAATAAGACAAATAAATTAAGTTTATTTTATGATGCGTTAGATATATGTACTGCGGCAAAATTAGTTTGAAAGAGCATGGAATACCGACGCTTTTGGACTTATTGATTGCTGTAGATGAGTTGATGCTTAATGATCTAATTGAACATATTCAAGACTTTCTTTTGGAGCACCATATCGATTCTATGACAGAAAATTTTACCTTAATTAATCAAATCGTATTCGAACACAATACTTTCACAAAGCTTCACAAATTTTGCACGGATATTGCATGTAAAAATCCTGCCGCTGTTTTTCAATCGAATGATTTTACAAAACTGCAAGAGACTGCACTGATTTCTTTGCTCAGACGCGATGATTTGAATCTTCAAGAAATCGATATATGGGAGAAGTTTCTTGAATGGGGAATTGCTCAAGACTCTAATTTTGAGAATGTTGATTTTTCGATCCCAGTAGAGAAATGGACACAAAACGAATTTACACAGTTAAAATTCACGCTTAAACAATGTTTACCGTTGATTCGTTTCTTTCATGTAAACTCTGTTGATTTTTACAATAAAGTAATGCCTTATTCGGAACTCTTATCAGTCAAATTATACAAGGATTTATTACATCATTACTTGGTTCCGGGAAGTGAAGATTTTCAAGCTAATAAACACCCTATTCGTAATTCTGATAAGTCTGATAACTCTATGGTGCTTACCCAAAATCAATTCCAAAAAATAAGGGAATGGATAAAGTCGCAAGATACAAAAATGAATTCATTCGATTTAAAGCTATTGTTACGAGGTAGTCGAGATGGATTATCTGCCGCTGATTTTCATCGACTTTGTGATAACAAAGGACCAACAGTTGTTACCATTCGAGTTAAAGATTCGGGAATACTAATTGGTGGATATAATCCATTAGAATGGAATTCAAAAAACAAATGTTATGCTGGACCAAATAGCTTTTTGTTCAAATTTGATCCAAATAAATCCGATGGACTTATAAGTAAATGTATTACAACGCATAATATAAGATGTTATCAAAGTTTAGGGCCAGCATTTGGAGGGGGACATGATTTGGTCTTATTAAGTGTTGATTATGGTAATTATTGTAAAAAAAATTCATATGATCATGGTCTGTTGAGCTCTGATAATTGTAGAGTTACTTTTGAGCTTGATGATTATGAAGTATTTCAAATTGTACAAAAATAACTTTATTTTGTGGTTTTATCAAAGGTATACAAAGTAAATTTTTGTTTTCATAATATTAGCGTAGAAACATACGATCCGGCAACCGGAAGTTTTTTTATACATGTACATGTATTAATTTTAATATTAGTGGAAAGCCACAATAATCAGAGAATCAAATAAAGAGTTAACAAATAACAATGCAGTATACCTTATTTCAATTTTAGTTTGTAAGTAATGTGATCAATCCCCTTAAATTTCAGAGTTTACTATTAATGTTTTTTATCATTTATAAAATTTGGGTAAGGGTAACGGTTAGGCAGAGGAAAAAATTGTATTTAAAATTGTTGTCCCGACAATTTTAATTAGTATTCCAAGACAGATTTAGGCATTGGTTTTCGAGTAATATTCATTTTCATATCTTGTGTCAGATTTGTTTTGCCGGGTTGATCAAAAAACCTATTGGACATGAATCACATGACTATTGCAGTATTACTATTACATCCGTTAGATTTAAATTTTTTGTTAAAGAAAGAATTGGTTCTATTTGTTTTCTATTTTCAATATGCAATTAGAAACTTTCATAATAAAATATATAAAGAAATAACAGTTAATATACAATTACATGTATAGCGATAGGTAACAATAGTCGAAGTGGTAACTAAATCATCATTTCTACAAACAATTTCATATTTTCTTTCATTACTTTTTATCTTCACAATAAATTCAAATTGCTTAAAAATATTATTTTATCTTTTTATTTAACACAAATAACAATAATGTTTTAACTGTGCTGTAATTTCAGTACATGCTGATAAATTAATTAAAACATATATATAATGAAAAAGATAATTTTTTACTGAAAACATATAGACGATTTGTGTTTGCAATTTATATATATAATGAGCATGGATAAACTTTTTGTGAATGTTAGTATTTAGCACAATATATATACATCATTTAAATGTATTAATTTTATTGTTCAAACTCATATAAGTAACTTAAGATTAACTCTTGAAATATCAATTATAATAATATTTTTAAATTTGAAACTTTTAATATATTCAGATCATATCTTAATACTTAATCAATGTTAGTGTGAGTAATTGTTAGTTCGAAACTTCCAGCAA